TGAAGGATTTTTGAGTTGAGGGAAATAAAATCTACTTCCAAATTAACTTTGGAGTTCAATTTTACAAGAACTTATTTTAAAATGACATTTTCAACATCTAACTAAACTGTCAAGTTAATCAAAGGATGGAACATTTAAAAAAATGAAGTGAGACAGTACTAGAAGAATCATTTCCTCTTTATAATGCATATGTTCTTAAAAACCTCTACTATGGGCTAGAGAGATGGCCCCATGGTTAAGACACACACTGTTGCAGAGGACCTGAGTTCAGGTTAGGTGGCTCACAACTGCCTGTAACTCCAGCAACAGGATCCAGTGCCTCTGCCCACAACAGCACACATGTGTATTCACATGCACACACTCCCTCACCACACACACTGTCGATTAAAAAAACGGCTCAAGGAGTCACACCATACAGCAGGGCTCACATAAGAGGTTTATTGGAAAAGGAGACAGAATGGGACAAAAAAGGGAGCAGAGAAGGGGGCAGAGAAGGGGGCAGAGAAGGGGAGAGAGACCAGTCCCCAGGGACAACAGTGGTGGAAGAGAGAGGAGGGGAGGGAGAGAACGAGAGAGAGAAATGGAGAGGGAGAGAGATGGGACAGTGCAAGAGACAGGAGATGGACAAGGCCCACCTTTTATAAGGGAACATCGAAAATACACACAGAAGGTGCTCTTAGTGGCTGCAGCTGAGGATGTATCCTGTCAGGACCCTGAGGGCAGGCCACTACAGATGCCTGAATACTAATTAACACCTACAGAGAGTTTAGCGACAATCACAGACCTTTACGAGTCTGAGCTAGGTCCTCTGCATATATGTCATGATTGTGTAGCTTTGTGTTCTTGTGGGACTCTAACAGTGGGAGCAGAAAAGAAATTGATGAAGGAGGAGAGGAGTCAGGAAGGAAAGCATCCACTTCCATATGGGGTTCCCAATCCAGTAGAAAGCAGGTTTTGGAGCAATGAAAAAGAAAGAAATTGGAGAATTCTTTCTCAGTTCCCTGACTGTCTGGTCCAAGGCCAGATTTTGTTTAAAATGAGTGGTCAGAGTGTTTCCAAAAGACATCCCAATGGGGGTGAGGAGGTACATGACCCAGTTCCCAAGGATGAGGCAGAGGCACAATGAGTGAGGTAGAGAAAGGAGAACCAAAGGCTGGAGTATGCTGGCATCCCAGGGATCCAGGGAGGATCAGGTTGAGTGGGCACAAGGTGTTTCAGTATGTCCTCATGCAAGAACAGGGGCCAAGGGCTCTGAGCCCCAGAGAGACACAGTCGCCTGGTACCAGGACTTCGAGAAAAGTCAGAAGGTGAGGAGAGGACTGTGCTCAAGAAAGGAAGCCTCACATCCAGGGGAATGGTCAGAGGTGGATAGCCCTGCCAGAGACCCAATTGTTGGTACTGAATGGAAGGCAAAGCCACCAGCGAAAGAGAAAGCAGATTTGTTGCAGGAGGAAGAGAGTAGATCTAGTGAGGGTGAAGCAGGTGGGTAGGGTCCCAGGGTGAAGTGATTACCTTCCGGTGGGCCCTGCCACTAAGCAAACATGCTGCATGCAGCAGAGTATAAGAGGTTTATTAGGGGAGGGAGGTAAGGGGAAGAATGAGTGAAAGGGTGATACCTCCTTCCATCTATCAGATTGCTGGCAGAATGTTGCAAAGGTCCCATAAAAATATTGGGATATAAGGTGCCAGGAAGCAGCCATTTATATTGGTATCTAAGGGGCATTTGAGACCAGGTCTGACTGCAAATGTGTACACAGTTCCCATGAGTGAGGTAGAGAAAGAAGATCCCAAGGTCGGAGTATGCTGGCTTCCCGGGGATCCGGGGAGGATCAGATGAGTGTTTCAGTACATCATCACACAAGAACAGGGGTCAAGGGCTCTCAGCCCCAGAGAGACACAGTTGCCTGACACCTGCACTTGACAAGGCCATAAGGCGAGAGAAACCATGCTGGAGAGACAAATCCTCACTCGTGGGAAATGGCCAGAGGTGGCTTGTCAATCATACCAGTGTTGGATAGAGAGGCCCTGTATTCAGGCATCTGTACTGGCCTGCCCTGGCCTGACAGGGTATGTCCTCAGCTGCAGTCATTAAGAGCACCTCCTGTGCACAGAGAGTGAGACATAGTTGTCTCTGCCAGTTGGTCCATATGAATTAAAATGAACCAGTTTGTAGGGAAGGTGAGTGGGATGCCAGGTCTGCTGTGCTGCACCTTTTAAGTGCCAGGCATGGCTGGGATGAGTGGGCAGTGAGGAAGTGAAGGGCCACTTGTGTCTGGGAGGGGGGCGTAGGATGCTTTTTAGGGAACCAGTTTTAACACCAAAGTCTGAGCATTGAGCAGAGCTACTAAGCCAGATGCTAGAATGTATGAGAAGGCAGAGTTGGGACTGTTAAGAATAGGAAAGGGCCACTATTTAAAAATCACAAGGTTTGATTGGCAAAATGTATTATATAATGTCAGGAGGTATAAAGATAGGCTAGCCAAGGGACTTACCCAACAGCAGCCATCAGACTCTAGATGCATCCTTTCTCAGGAAGACTATCAGGAAGCAGAATGTAGAGCTCCATCCCCATAGGTAGTGAGTGCCCTCTGCTGGGCATCTTTAAATCAGGCGGCATAGCCCTTCAGTGTCAGATGCACGTGCTTTGTGGGCTGAGGTATGGGGCAGAGTTGAGCATGTATGTGGGATGGTTGGACACTGGGAGCAGCCAAGTGGAGGCAGGAGAGTGCTGAGACAGCATTTGTGAATCAGTGTCTAAACAGTTTGAGGCCTGTTGTACCCTTGTAAGTACAACAGCAAAAGACTAGAATGGCATTTACAGAATCAAAGAGGTTTCATTCTAGAAGGCAAATTAATGACAAGGCTTGGTCTGAAGTGGCAATACATTTTGTTTTCTGGTAGAAACTCTTTTGGTGTTGAGTGCAGTTTCAGATGTTTGGTCAAGGTACAGTCATTTAATGACTAATGTCCAGCTCTGACCAATGACACCAAGCAACAAAGAGAAGTACGAATGAGCACAGACTAGAGCCTCAAATGCCTTAGCCGTTCCTTTTCAGACTGTTGTTTGCTAGCCTGACTGAACTCTCGGATTTGTTTTTTCTCTACTAAAACTGCCTTTTAAGGTCCTGGACTCATTCACTTACCCTCAAAAGAAATAATTGATTAATATCAGACTAGTCCTGGGTAACTTGAATGCTGAAACTAAGCTAACATTGTATACACAATAGGTTGATTTTAATTGTGTTTCAATGTGTTTATGTACGCTTGATATAAACTAGAGTTATCTGAAAGATCCTCAATTGAGAAATATACCTCCATAAGATTAGCCTGTGGGGCATTATTGATGGGGGAGAGCCCAGCCCATGGAGGGTTGGCCTACCCCTGGGTCTTGGGTTCAATAAGAAGGCAGGCTGAGAATGCCATGGAGAGCAAGCCAGTAAGCAGCACCCTTCCAGGTTCCTGTCCTGCTTGAGTTCCTATCCTGGCTCTTTCAGTAATGCATAGTGATACGGAAGTAGAAGCCAAATAAACCTTTTCTCCCCTAAGTTGCTTTTGGTCATGGCATTTCATGACAGCAATAGTAACTATAACTAAGATACAATGTCAGTTTTTAGGAATACAGAAGCCATTTTGTGGGCTGTCATTTGTCTCCAGTATTAGAATGACTGGGGGCTCTGTAGTCTTGGTGTGACCAAGTGCTCTGTGTTCTACCCTTTCCATACAGGCAGAATCAGAACAGCAGTTTCTCAGCATGGCTGATATGGTCACATGCTTTTGTAACTTGGTTTGTGTCTGTCATAACATTATTAGGAATAGGAGTTCAGGATTATTTATTGGCCATATTTTCTTAATTGCAAAATCCAGTAACTGGTGTGTGATCTGTTCATTCAAGTCCAATATTGATATGGTATTGTGCTCTCTGAATTCTTTCCTATCTGTCCCAGCAATCCTTGTTGAAGGGACTCTAGCCTGCCCAAGCATGGCAAACATAACTCTGGCAGGCCTTGCCTTTCTCTCCCATTCCCTCTGCCTTTCTAAAAACCATTAGATTACATTCCTAAAGCTAGCCACCAAGGTCTATTCCCTTACTATTCCTCTTCCTGAGGCTGACTACCCAAGTCCAGCTAACAAAGTATTGAAATCCAGCAATCAAAAGCCCCCTTTGGCTCACCTAATTAACACGCTCAATCAAAATTAAACACCTCATCCTAACACAGGGTTTCCCCCTTTACCTTTATAATCTCCATTTTCCTATGGGCCATGTTTTGTCTCCTCCTTATCCAGAGGCAGTCCTTTGTCCTGGACAAATACGCTTCCCCCTCTCCCTTATCCTCTATCTCCGGTGTTTGTCTCTTATTCTCTGCCCTTTATATCTTCAGAGAAAATAAGTCTTCTTTGTGCTGAGAATTTGTTCTTGGGGTTCCTTCCCTTTCTTTCATACAGGTCTGCTTTCTGAGCCAAGGAAGAAGGAGAAAGCAGCATTTACTGCCAAGATTCGTACACACCATTCAGGCTCATCACAGAAACCAGCTTCCCGTCTGAATGAGAGAAGCCACATAAAGTGCCCACTCTGTAAAACAGTGAAAATGGAGGTCACAGCAATCCTTGGTAGCACAGAAATAAAAGATTACCAGGAGCTGGAGCTGGAGGTTGGGGTCATGTTAACAGATGTTTCTTATTTCTCCTTTTTCTGCTTGGCTTGGTCTTTAGTTGAGGATTATGCTATCACACACACACACACACACACACACACACACACACACACGTGTATGCATAGGTATAGGTACGGGTATAGATATATGTAATTCCTGCTTCTTGGAACTACCACAGAAGACAAATAGGTAAGTAAACTACCAACACTAACTAGGTAAGAAGGTGCCACATGCTGAGAAGTACAGGGTGCTGTAATGGCATATACGTGGGGGTTCCTGCCTTATTCTGGGTGGTTAGGGAAGGCTCACATTCCAGGAGAGAAATGGGATTTCAGCTGACATTTCCTGTAGAGATGGTAAGGGAAGAACGTTCTAGAAATGATCATTTAGAGAACAGCATTGTGCAAGTGCAGGAAGAGAAAAGAAAATGGGTGTGATGAGAGCCTGGAGAGGTGTGTGGAGCCAGCCATCACCTTCAAGTACATCAGTATGGTGGTGGGGGGCAAGTTGGGAGGAAGAATTACGTATGTTATCAGAGTCAGGAAGGGGGATTTTTTAATCCTCACGAATGTCATACATACATGCATGCATTTTGACCAAATCCACCCTCATTTCCTCCCCTCCAACACCTTCTCCCCCTTCCCTCTGACTTCACGTGTTCTTGTTTAGACTCACTGAGTCATCTTAGTGTTGCCAGTCCTGGAGCATGGGTAGACTCTCAGGGACCACATCCCCATCTCTGAAGAAAATTGACTCCCCTTCCACCAGCAGCCATCAATTCCCAATACCTTCTCCATGAGAGGTGGGGTATTTTGAGCATCTATAGAAAGGAGAAGTTTCAAAGGGAGTCCAACCTAGTAGCTCTTAGTGTTCTCTATCCTCCCTAGGTTCCTCGCAGGGCTTTATGTGGGGTAAGTTTTTATATTTGATGGTGATGGTGAAGTTGCATTGTACATGGAGGTCAAAAGTGCCACCAAGCATGCAGGACAGCCTTGCCTACGGGGAAGATTTCAGTCTTGCAAGCATGTTGCTGGTCATTCATGTCAGTGAAAACCTTGCCCTGAATCTAGGACTTACACAATGCATGTTCACATGGCTCTAACATGTAGTAATTCTAGGAATCTAACTACAGCATAACAAAGAGAGAAAAACCATCCTGGGTTTCACTCACAACTTTTGTCAAAAAGCATTCAGCATTTCAGATAGCACTTTCGTGATTTTTGAAAATGCTAGCAAAAGACAGCGGCTCTGTGGCCATGACATTCGAATTCTATGTGTGACAATGGCATATATATATATATATATATATATATATATATCATTACATCAAAGTAGTGTTGTTATTATAAATTATATTCATGTATCCTTAAAATGTATTATTTGTGGATCTCTATGCAGTGGTGTGGAGGGCCTAGAATGTTGCAGGTGGAGAGGATAATTATCTTATCCTGGGCTAACTTTAGCACCCAGAATAACCATTCCTTCCCCATCTTTGTGTCAGAACTAACATCCTGTGACAATAGATTAAACATCCTTCCGAATCTAACAACAGACCACTAGCTTCCACCAACCCCAAGGCCCAGAACATTATCAGATGGCATCATCTGACCTAGAGAAAAGTGTTCTCTATCTTGCTGTAACCACCTCTTTGATGTGACCACCAATGTATTTTAACTTGCCTTGCTCTGCCAAACTATGAAACTGCTTCCACTTTGGATCATGGAATTTGAGGTAACCTAAATCTATGCTCCTGGGTCATGATCACTCAAATTTGGTTCCAGAATAAACTATCTCCTATGCCCTTTAAGGTGTCAACTAGCAGGTAGTGACGAGTTTCACGCGAAGAACAAAGTGGTTATTGTATTATTTGCGCTGATTGAATCCAGAGTGACAGACAAGCACTGTACCACTAAACTACATCTCCAGATTCAGCTTCCAGAACAGCTGCGATGATGCCCAGCAAGGCCCGCATGACATTGTGTAACATTTCATTTTAAAGCGGACAGTGGTTCCTCCAGCCCGTCTCGCACTGGCACAGTCCACCTGCTGGCACCTGCAACTTTACCAAGACACAAGCTCGGGCGTCCTTTCTCGGGTGGGTCTGTCCAGGTCCCCAGTAGCAACGTCTTCAGGCGTCAGACCCCACCGACCGACTCTGATGAAGGGCGAGGGGCTTGAGCCCTAGGGCACCGAGGGAAACCGCAGAGGCGGGGCGGGGCACCCCAGGGAGAGGGCAACTGGTGGAGGGGCGGGCCGGGCCAGTGACGCACTTCCGGTCGCGCCGCGGGTCGTGCAGCGCAGGTGAGTGCGGACTCGCTGCGGTGAGCGGTGTCCTGGCAGTCCTCACGCACGGTCTCCCGCAGCCAGCCTTGCGGCCCACCACGTCTCGGTGCCCACAGTGGCGAAGCTCTGTGGGCAGGTCCAGAGCGCTTAGCAGGTGGCCGGCGGGAGAAGCTGTGTCACTGCAGCCAGAGGGCGACTGCGTTGCGGGGGCGAAGCGACTCCAGGTGACATCTCAAGTCTTTGGACGCACTGCGGCCCCGCAGGCACTTCAGGTGTGTACAGCGTGTCCCCGGGCTCCAGACAGGGTGAGGGGCACAGGGCACTGCAGGAAAAGCAGGACCCCTTCCCAGCCGCTGGTGACAGAAGCCTCGAGGCCTGGTCTGCTGCATCGAAGTCAGGCCCCAAAGGTGCCTTGCGGCTCACACGCACACATGATTAGGACATCGCTAGAATGCACACAGAGTAGTTTCAGAATTGCTGTTTCATATCCCGTAGAAGACAGGTCTCTTTGGTCATTACTTTACCGTAGTCAAATAACTATTTTTCCAAGGTTCTTGTGTGTGTGTGTGTGTGTGTGTCTGTCTGTCTGTCTGTCTGTCTGTCTGTCTGTCTGTGCGTGTCTGTGTGTGCCTGTCTGTCTTTGGTCATGACAACTATGAGTAGCCAATTAAGAAAGCGTTTGGGTCCTTACTGCAGCTTCCAATTCGTTCTTCACCAGACTCTCCCACCCTTAGAGGTAACAACTCTTTTGAATTCTGTGTTAATCACAGCCTGTTTCTAAAAGTATATCTATATGCACTAATATGTAAACAATTTAAACTTTTTTTTGTTTTTGAGCATCGTAGTGTACAGTCACCTGGTACTTGGTTAATTTCTAAATTCATGGGTGTATTACCTGCTGGGCAATATTCAGTTATAAAAACAACACAGACATTTGTATTTTCAATGGGCAGGCAGGTTGTTTTCAGGCTGGTTATGTATAAAAATAGTACTCATAGTGAATATTTTGTGCATATCTCCTACATTTTGATCATCTTAACCCCTCTGATCTTGCCATCTCCTAGACACCCTTATAGTGTACATTTTTAAAATTAGATGTGAATATTGATTTTTTCAAACACCTTTGACGTAAAGATTGACCGTGTATTAATACAGTTTTTAATCTTCAAATTGAATTACATATTTTTATTGTAGAATAAGTTGTCTTTTTAAATACTGAAGGATATTAAGAAAAAACCCTTTAAAATATGTAAAGAATAAGGTAAAAATAGATCAGGTCAGTTAAACATACAATAACAAAACCAGAGCTTATTAGGAGGGAAAGTGTGAGCAGCACCTATATATTATAAATAAAAGTAACTCCTGCAACCTGAAGAAGGTAGAAAAAATTAAAAATCCTTATGTAATCTAGATTTTTCCAGGTGTAGAACATGGGATTAATTGTTTTTCTTTTTAAAAATGGGAATTTAACTATGAATGTGCTCACCTGCACAGAGTGAAGGACAAAGAAAGCAAAATAGAAAAAAAACAAAACAAACTACAGACAAATTAAAGGTCAGTCGAGCAAAGAATGATTTAACAGTTGGGCAGTCTGTGGTACTACAACAACTTGTGAGACTGGGGATGCCAGGGGGCTGGACATTTGTAGACAGGAAAAGGGAAGTGCTTACAGGAAAGCTAGCTGGGTCATTTTGTGCCTGGTGCTTGCCTTATTTCAATCTAGTTTGACCAGCCTGGCCACTTTGATTGGCTGAGATTGGTTCCTAAGTTAGGTTTTGAACTTGTTTACATACTGAGTTGGATTGCAAGTTCTGTACAGGTAAGAACTCGCTATATGACTAGGGAGGCTTTCCTGGGCCAAATTAGTTTATTAGTTAACAAACCAATACAAGGTTGCCTTGTCAGGCTTGGCCCTTAACAGGTTCTGTCTTGCAGGGTCTCTAAGGAGCCTTGGAATCTCAAGGATGCCCTTCTAGGGCTAATGGGAAAACACTTACCCATCGAATTCTGTCCCTTGTTGGCCAAGGGTGGCCTCACTGATGTTTACTTGCCTGCAATTCAGGGCTCAGCAGGCATCTCACACAAAATGTGGGAGAAGCCCTAGTGTAGGTTGGTTACAGCTTTGTGAAGCTGGTCTTCACATAGGAGAACTGCAAAAAGCCTCCATTTGGCGTGTCTGTGATGCAAAACTGGACAGTTCAGATTGAGAACTGAGAGGCAGCCCACTACCTCACTATAGCCCAGCTTTCTCAAGGTTAGCTTAGGCCATGCAGGAAGCCAGCCTGGTGAGACCTGCCTGCACAAAAGCCTTAGCCCAGGCTGGCCTCAAACTCTGATCCTCCTGCCTCTAGCTCCCCTACCATTGCTCCTGGCAAGCATTAGAATTCTTGACACTTAAGAATGAGAGCACTGATAGGAGGAAGAGGAGCAACTGTCCACTTTCTGTGTGGTCTCTTCCTGCAGCCTGGCTCCCAGACTCCGAGTGCATGCTGCACCTAGCTGGCCTTTTCTTACGTGTGAGTGAATGATGCTTGGTTACAGAAGGAGAAGTGAGGTAGACTTGATAATACTATTCCTTGAGCTGAATTGTCAGTTTCTAGACTGTTGTTCTTTAGGCTCTGCCTGTGTTTTGTAAACACTCTTTTATATGGTGCTTGTAACACTTGCCAAGCCGGGTGGTGGTGGTGCTTGCCTTTAGTTCCAGCACTCAGGAGGCAGAAGCAGGCGGATCTCCATGAGTTTGGGGCCAGCCTGGTCTACAGAGCAAGTTCCAGGACAGGCTCCAAAGCTACACAGAGAAACTCTGTCTTAAAAACTAACTAACTAACTAACTAACTAACTAACTAACTAACTAACTAAAAGACTTGGCAGTCAGAGGCCTTTGGGCAGCTAGCTTTAGAGCATCAGTGTTCTGTGAGGAGTGCCGGGCACTTGAGCCAGCAGCAGGATCACACTCTGGCAGCTCCTGTTCCTGTCTGGGTACCAGCTGCCTGTACCTCAGGTCTTAACTGTGCTCCTGATTGGGGTGGCTTGTCTTCTGTTTCTCCTCAGCTCCAGCTCTTCCTTGAGAGAGACCAGGTGATGACAACCAGGATCCCGTCAGTTTTGCTCCAGGTGAGCTGTGGGTCCCTCATCTCTTCCTCTGGGCAGTTCAGATTGAGACTGAGAAGAGAGATGGTGAGACTTGGAATAAAAACCTGCTTCTACCTGCCATGGATGTTATGGGAAAGGTGGACAGGCAAGTGGCAGAGACTGGGGCAATGACCAGTGAAGGTAGCAGGAAAGTGAACCTAGCAGATGGAGTCACACAAGGGTCTCTATGCCACTGTGCATGAGCACCCTGGCAGAGGGCTTTTGGGGAATGGGGCCATGGAAACCACCCATGTGGTGCTCTATGCATGAATAGTGGAGTTGCAGAGGTTTGGGGTGGGAAAAGAAGAGCTGCAGATGAATGAGAAGGATGGCTCTGTCTCTGATGAGGGATAGGGAAGATGATGGAAAGTGGGAGCAAGGAAGGAAAAGACAGGAGACTTGGGGGCCCTTTTTGGGGGTCTGTGTGGGGAGTCAGTTGGTAAATGGGATAGATGCCCTTATGGGGTGGGGAACATCTGTTTTACCATATGAGGATGAGGGTAATGAGTGGAGGAGCTGGGGGGTTGAGGTAAGCCACGGAGGAGCCAAGACCTCACAGGGATGCAGTGGGAACTGCAGATGTCTCCAATAGTCTGCCAGTGAGGGAGTAGCCAAAGAGCAGAATTGATGTAGTAGAATTTGCTTATGGGAATTCTTTTTCTTTCAGCCCAGTGTGAAAATGGCATGCAGTTTCTCTGCCGTAAGAGAAGGCGGATATTCCATAGATTACTTTCCTGGTGTTTTTTTCTTCCACTTTCCCTTGTTACTAATTTTGTTCTCTTCACAAGCCCCCTCCCCAAGCCCTTATTTTGCCCTCTGCCCCTCACTTAGGGCCTGAGCCATGGAATTGGCCCTAGGGCAGCAAGAACCTGTTGTTTCAGAAGTTGGTGACCTTTGAGGACGTAGCTGTGTACTTCACCCAGACGGAATGGGATATTCTGTCCCCTGAACAGAGGGCGCTGTACAAGGATGTAATGCTGGAGAATTATAGGAACTTGGCCTCCATGGGTAAGGCCTTTCTCCCTGGACTCAGACTGCCATTTTGGGTTTCTTGGCTATTTCTGTCCTAACAGGTGGCAGGTGGGGATCTGGTAATCCTTTATGAATGGGCTTTTTCTAATCTCCTTATGTATAGGCTGCTGGAAGAGCAAATCCCATGTTGTTATAGGACTTTGCTGAGACTAATGCATGCTTTTGAGCTACCTTAAAGAAGCTGTATATTGGACATAGTGTGAAAGATAGAAACTTGCTGTTCTATAGAGGCATCTTCAGATTGCTCCTTGCCTTATTTATACTGAGTCTTTTTAAAGAATCTCAGTGGTCTCTGGGTATTTCAGCCCAAGATCAAGAAGTGGTAACCCTTTTGGGCAGACTGTCCCAGCTTTCTCTGCATGTGGACCCTGGCTCACAGTCTGACCCTTCTCACCCCTTTCTGAGAGATCTTACTTTCCTTCCCAGTGTTGAGGCATCTCAGGAGACTTAGGGATGCACTTGTGGGAGATTTTTCATGTTTCTTCTGTTTCTTTTTCCCAAATCAGGATTCCCATTTCTCAAACCTGCTTTGATCTCACAGCTAGAGGAAGGAAAGGATCTGGAAAACCTGTCTCAGCTGGCCACTGGAACAGACTCCCAGGGCCTCTGGACTGGTAAGCAAGGCACAGATTGCCCAGCAACATAAATGTGTACCACATTTATGCATTATGGCAATGCATTTTTTCCAAGTTGCCATATTCTATCTCTGACCCCACCATTTTCAAACAAGACTATGGATTTAGTGATAGAGGTAAGGATCTAGTGTTGCTGCTAAAAGTGGAAGATACAGCCTTAATAGCTTTTTACACAGAGGCAGAAGCAGCTAAAAGCTACAGGCTTTTCCTGAGGTATCACCCTATCTGTGTTTGTGAGGAAACTGTTTTTTTTTTTTTTTTGTTTTGTTTTGTTTTTTCCCTAGTTACATGACTGAGCAGGTCAGTTATTTGAGGTCTCTACAGTCTAGTGATTTCATCTCTGATAAAAGGCAATGGCAATGAGTCCTTACCACTCAGTGGGCTCAGGACTAAATGTGATATCATATATTAAGGGTCTAGCTTGGTTAAATTATAATTGTCTATACACTGAGAGTATAAAAAGTGCCCCCATGCCATGCTTCTTGAATGTCAATGTGAAAAGGTTACTTGGGATTCTTACAAGTACACAGACTGTCAGTAGGTCTTTAGCCCAGCCAAGTGTCTGTGTTTATATTAATACTGTGAGCTCCTTAATCAAAGGTGTTTGGTTCTCATTCTATAGGCAGCAGTTAGTCTCTTGTTTGGAAGAAAAATGAGACAGACTGTGGGTGGGCAAAAAGAGAAGGTGGAGGGCATGAGGACTCTGATGGCAGTTAAACTTTAAAACAAACCAAAGGCCTTTTTTATAACTCAGCTCAGTGATTTCTATAGAAGTCTTTACTTACTGGACCTTAGATCCTTTCTGCAAGAGAAGCTGGAAAATATGATTTTGGTAGGCAGATGAGTACTTCAAAAAACTAAACTGAGGACTGGAGAGATGGCTCAGAGGTTAAGGTGAGGATCTAGTGTTGCTACTAAAAGTGGAAGATACAGCCTTAATAGCTTTCTTCCAGAGGTCCTGAGTTCAATTCCCAGCAACCACATGATGGCTCACAACTCTGTAATGAGATATGGTGCCCTCTTCTGGAGTGCAGGCATAAATGGAGGCAGAATGTTGTCTACATAATAAATAAATAAATTTAAAAAACTAAATTGAAGATGTATTAGTAAAGATGAAATAGACAGTGGATATTAACATCTGCTATACCATAGGATTTGGAAGATCACTAATAAAAGTTGGTAAAGAACTAATAATAAGTGGTTGATCTGCATAAGATGTACAAATATTGGCTGGGCAGTGGTGACACACACCTTTAATCCCAGCACTCAGGAGGCAGGGGCAGGCAGATGTCTTAAGTTCAAGGCCAGCCTGGTCTACAGAGTGAGTTCCAGGACAGCCAGGGCAACACAGAGAAACCCTGTCTTGAAAAACCAAAAAAATAAAAAATAAACCAGACCAAGGAAACAAACAAAGAAATCCAAAAGAAAAAAGATTTAGATTTAAAAAAATTCAAATGTTAATCAATGTGAAAAATACCTATTCTCAGTAGAAACCAAAGACAAGCGAGTCATAATGAAAAAAGGTTAGCAATGCAAACCCTGAATTTTTAAGTTTCTAGTACTACAGATGTCTTCATCAGTTTGAACTATTGGAACAGAGTACCATAGACTGACTGGTTTATAAACAACATAATTTGTGTCTTTCATATGGCTTAGCTTGGGTTGCTATAACAATATTTTGGGTGGTTTATAAGAACATAAATTTATTCTTCCAGTTTGGCATCCAAGAAGAGCAAGGCTCGGGCAGCTTCTATTTGACAAAGATTTGTTTCCTACTTAGTAGGCAGCTATCTATCTTCTTGCTGTGTCTTCATACAGTTGAAGGGAGGACTTTACCAGACCTCCTAAAGCACAGCAATTCCATATGTGAGGGCTCTGCAAAAGGTTCTCCCTCCTAATCATGGTCACTTCTTTAAAGTTAGGGCTTTTACAGGTGACTGTTAGGGATGGGCAGCAACAAATTGAATCTATAGCAACAGCTACACATATTTTTAATTTTGAAAAGGCTCATATTAAAGTCCTTTCTAGAGGAACCCAGGTTTCTTACGTTGTTGAGAATAATTATAATGAAGTAGCAAGGCAAGTTTATATTTTATTTATTCTCTCTACAGTACATTCTGATGACACCTCCACTTCCTCCCCTAACCTCCTCTCTCCCTCAGATCCACAGCCCCTCCATTTCTCTTCAGAAAAGAGCAGGCCTCCCAGTGATACCAACTGAACATGGCATAATAACATGCAATAAAACTAGGCAGAAACCCTCATGTCAAGACTGGACAAAGCAACACAGTAGGAGGAAAAGGGTCCCAAGTGCAGGCAAGAGTCAGAGACTGGTTCCAGAATATCATTAGGAATCATTTCAGTTACTTTTTTTTTTTTTTTTTTTGAACAGTCATGTTTGGTTTTACTCCATGTCTGTGAGTCATCCAGCTTTGGGTTCCTGATTATCCTGTTGGGCATGGGTTTCCTCTTGTGGCTTGGGTCTCAAGTTAGACCAGTCATTGGTTGTTCACTCCCATAAGCTCTGAGACGCCATTACTCCAGCACATCTCACTGGCAGGACAGATGTGGGTAGAAGGTTTGGAGGCAGGGTTAGTGTGCTAGTTCCACCACTGGGATCCTTGTCTGGTTACAGAAGATGGAAGGGCATATTATATGTGGCTGGGAAAAAATGAGAAATGAGAAAATAAAGTAACTTTTTGGGGAGAAATGGAGAGGTCAGTATTGTAAAAATTATGATTATATACAAAAGAATGTTGGTATTCGTGGAAGGGAAAGTTTGTATAGCAGTATTTTAGAAGAGTTAGGAAGAGATGTGATCAAATGGGCCACAGCAGAGCTTTTCTTAAGTAGAGAAAGAACCTGAAAGAATGGTTTCAGGAAGGCTAGAGTGAAGTTTTAGGGCTGTTACACAGCTCTTCTTTTGCTCTCTCTGTTGATGCCTGTCAACCCAGTCTTTCAGCACATCATTAGGTCCTTCCTCTGCATTTCTTTCTTGAATGTTTCTGCTTTTATTAATAAGAACAACCTGGAAGGAACTGTAGAATGTAGGAAAGCATGAAACAATGGGAAAGATACATGTCTGATAGACCAGACCTAGAATTTTCTTCCACTGCTATCACTTTTAACCTTTGTGTTATTGATGCTGCCTTTTGTAGTGGCCTTGCTTTAGGAGAGTATGGCTGGGGATCTTTTTTGATTGATGTTGTCTCAAGTAGCTGAACTTTTATAGAAGTTTTCTGAGGAAATACATGTTCTTGTCTACTCTTCTCATTCTTCATTACACAATTAAAATCTCTTTTCTTTACTATTTCTTTTAATTTTATTTTGAAGTATATCCTGGGCATTTTTTCGTGGTCTACATATCTCTATCTATTTCCTTCCTTTATCAATGATAATTATACCTTCTGGATGAACCTTAGGATATTTGACCTAGTCTAGTGATTTTTTTTAAAGAACCTTCTAGAGCAAGGCATGGTGATGTACACATCTAATTCTAGTACTTGTGAAGTAGATGCAGGGGCATCAATAGTTCAAAGCCAGCCTTATAACATATTGAAACCCTATAGATAATAAATAGTTTTCTGACTATTTACTTCTATCATGGTTCTACATAACAGGTTTTAATTTTCTACTTCTTTTGGTAGAATATACTGCTATCCAGATTGGCAATAATTTGATAAAAGAAGTGTATGAAGAAAAAAAGAGTATATTATTTGATCTTCAGAAGGACTTTTCCCAGGAAACATTTTTTTCAAAAACTTCTATTGTAGACCAACGACAGGAAATTCATTTAACAGGAAGTGTGAAAGAGAATATCAGTACCACTGATGGAAGACTTAAGACAAGCTCCGTGGAAGGGTATTTATTTAATCAGACTCTAAATGTGTCTCAAAACCATACCAACTCCATCGAAGAACCATATTCTGATAACACACTTACTAATAGTGAAAAAATTACTACAGAGGGGAGATCTTTGAAACACAAAGATTTAGTAGAAACCTCTCAAGGTAGCTCTCAAGCTAATCAGCTTCCAGAAAGCTCTACTGTGGAGAAGCCTTATCAATGTACAGAATGTGGCAAAGCCTTCAACGTTAAAGCAAAATTTGTTTGGCATCAAAGACTTCATAATGGAGAGAAACCTTTCAAATGTGTGGAGTGTGGGAAATGCTTCAGTTATAGTTCCCACTATATCACACATCAGACAATCCATAGTGGAGAAAAGCCTTATCAGTGTACAGTATGTGGAAAAGCCTTTAGTGTTAATGGAAGTCTAGTTAGACACCAGAGGATACATACAGGAGAGAAGCCCTATCAGTGCCAGGAATGTGGAACTGGCTTTGGCTGTAGTTCTGCCTACATTACACATCAGAGAACCCACACTGGGGAGAAACCTTATGAGTGTAGTGACTGTGGGAAAGCTTTCAATGTTAATGCAAAATTAATTCAGCATCAAAGAATTCATACTGGAGAGAAACCTTATGAGTGTGATGTGTGTGGGAAAGGCTTCAGGTGCAGCACTCAGCTTAGGCAGCATCAGAGTATACACACTGGAGAAAAACCACATCGGTGTAGTGAATGTGGGAAAGGCTTCACAAAAAATGCAAAACTCATTCAACATCAAAGAGTCCACACAGGTGAGAAACCCTATGGATGCAGCGAATGTGGAAAGACTTTCAGTGCCAAAGGGAAATTAATCCAGCACCAGAGAATCCACACTGGTGAGAGACCTTATGAATGTAGTGAATGTGGGAAATCTTTTCGGTGTAACTCCCAGCTTCGGCAGCATTTGAGAATCCATACTGGGGAGAAGCCATATAAGTGCAGTGAGTGTGGAAAGGCCTTCAATGTTAATGCAAAACTAATGCAGCATCGGAGAACTCACACAGGGGAAAAACCTTTTGAATGTAATGAATGTGGAAAGTGCTTTACTTCTAAAAGAAACCTACTTGATCATCAGCGGACCCACACTGGAGAAAAGCCATTTCAATGTAAGGAATGTGGAAAAGCTTTCAGTATCAATGCCAAGTTAACTAGACACCAACAGATACATACTAGGGAGAAACCTTTCAAGTGTATGGAATGCGAGAAAGCATTCAGCTGTAGTTCTGACTATATTGTGCACCAGAGAATCCATACTGGAGAGAAACCCTTTCAATGCAGTGAATGTGGGAAAGCCTTCCATGTCAATGCTCATCTAATTAGACACCAGAGAAGCCATACTGGGGAAAAACCTTTCCGATGTGTTGAGTGTGGCAAAGGCTTTAGCCTTAGTTCTGACTGTATTATACACCAGACTGTGCATACTTGGAAGAAGCCCTATGTGTGTAATATATGTGGAAAAACTTTCAGGTTTAGCTTCCAACTTAGTCAGCACCAAGCTGTGCATAGTGAAGAAAAAGCCTAACAGATGAAGAAAACAACAAACAAACAAACAAAAAATACTCCTATGTTTAATTGGAAATGGATCATGGCTCATCAATTATTACTCAAAAGAAAACCACCAGAGGGAATGAATATGGCATTCAATTTTTTTTACTCTATTTTTAATCAAGATTAGATGAGCAACTGCAAAGTTATATCTAAAATAACTTAGTTTTATATCGGGTAACCAGTCAAGAAATATAATGAAAGAAAACATTCTATCCCCGGCAGCATCAGGACAAGTAGATTTTCTAGGAATAATTATTTTGGGGGAAATAAGGAAAAGTAAGAATTCTCCACTGAGGAAAACCAAAGGAAAAGGGGTGGAGAGAAATTAATTTATTTCTGCTTAGTTTTGACAACAAGAGTGCATTACATTTCCTTAAAAGGGGGGTATATTTAAAAAAAAATTGTTTGATATAAGTCTTTAAAAATATCAGATCCAGGGGCTGAAGAGATGGCTCAGTGGTTAAGAGCACTGGCTACTCTTCCAGAGGTCCTAGTTCAATCCCCTGCAACCACATGGTGGCTCACAACCATCTGTAATAGGATCTGATGACCTGGCATGCAGGTATACATGCTACTCATACATAAAAAATAAAGTTAAAAATATTTTTAAAAAAGTAGATTCAAAGTAGAGATGAACTATAAAGAAAATGTTGGCAAATGACTCATTCAAAAATAAACCTGTGTGTTTTGTTGTAAATAATTCCAAATAGGTTGAAATGTAAAGCATACACACAAAAATGGAAATACCATTGCAAAATTTGCGATATAAAGTGTAGTATCTAGTATCCAGATTTTATAAAAGATAACTTACAAATCAACAGTGAAGTGACATCAACAGGCAACACTTCAAAATCACAAGCATTCTAAAAAGTGTTCCACCGTAGTCATACCCCAAGGAGTGAAAATTTGTGAAGACATTTTTTTGCATGTCACATGAGCATATGGTATGCATATCCCCCTAATACTATGCAGCCCTCAGTGATTATAGATGCCGTATTTGCTCTAGATACCTGCCATACAAGCATAAAATCTATTTAACAAAAATAGCACGTTAGAGTTCCTATTTTGTAGTGTCTGAACTCTACAAACATGGCTATGTCCTGAAGCAATGTGTCTGCCTTGGATTTCAACTCTTTGTGATGTCTTGGGTTCCATGAAAATGTTGGAATTCTCAAGATACTCTGTGAAGTCTTACTCACTTTAAAAAAATCTAAGCCATTAGTAAGATCATGTAAGCTGCCAAGAAGCTGAGAAACAGCAGTTATATATTTCTGCCATCTACCATGTTGTCAGCTGTTAATGGGTAGTAAAAAAAATGTTTTTCCTTTATTTTTTTTTGTTTGTTTTTTCGAGACGGGGTTTCTCTGTGGCTTTGGAGGCTGTCCTGGAACTAGCTCTTGTAGACCAGGCTGGTCTCGAACTCACAGATATCTGCCTGCTTCTGCCTCCCTAGTGCTGGGATTAAAGGTGTGCACCACCAACGCCCGACTTAGGAAATGTTTTTCTACTCAGAACAACTCTACTACCAAATATTCTCTACTACCAAATATTCGGGTTTCTAGACCAGTTCAGTTTTCTGCAGACACCAACTAGATGCTCTCCGATTTCTATCAGTTTAGACACTACTCATAATAAACATCCTACAGGTGAAATTGGCTCAGTCTGGGAAGACTGTCTCTCATCCCCTCCCCCCCATTTTCAGACACTAATGATGAGTCCTACATTTCTGATTTGGCTACAAATTGAACACTTCTGGGTTCAGTAATTTTCTGTATTAACTTGCAGAACCTAGAGAGACAATTTACAACTACCATTTACTCTAGAGAATATTGTGGATGTCACATGAACAGCCACATGAAGAGATACTTAGAGCAAGAACCACAGGGTTCCCATATGCAGGTGCTTTTGCCCCCATGGAGTTGGAGAGCCTCATCCTGCTGAGCTCCATTGTTAGGGCTTTTATGGAGATTACAGTGTGTATCCATGATTGATGAAATCCTTGACTGTTAGTAAGTTTCCCCCTCCAGAAATCAACAGGGGTTGCTGAAAGTTCTCTCTTAACACATAGTTGGCTGTTTTGACAACTAGCCCCAATCCTGGTGATAGCTAGCAGTCTAGCAATCAGTCACTTTAGCATAAAGAGATGACTGCAAGAGACTTACCTTAGGAGTAACAGAAGATGCTCCTCCCATATCAATCAGAAGACCAAAGGTTTTAGAAGCTCTTGTGCTAGAAACTGGAGAGAAACCGAACATTTCTTTTGCCACAGGCAGAAACCCATTTACTTGGTTCATATCTCCCTATGTCTGGTGGTTGTCTATCTTTAGTTCAGCAGTAAGCAGGATAAAATCGAAATCTGGCAACAGGAAAGCTATCAATTTTATGAACACAGACAAACATTAGACAATACAGAATATCGGTGTTTTTCTTCCACACAGCAGTTCTTTGCAAAATGTCCCCATTTAAAAGTTGTGCAATGGCTAGTGAGATGGCTCAGCAGGTAAAGGCCAAGCCTGACCCAAGTTTCAATATCTAGAACCCATATGGTAGAAAGAACAGAACTCACTCATACAAGTTGTTCTCTGGTCTCTGTGCATGCATGAAAATAATTAAATTTTAAAAACTAAAATACCCATATAATGAAATTAAGCATTCTGATCATTTTGAAGTGTGCAATTTGTCTTTCCAAATAAATCTAATAAATTGAAAAATTGTTGAAACTTGTTTTCTGTAATATAGGAAAATATGTCTATTTAAATCAGGGCCATTTTTTTTTGAGATTACAATTAGCATGAGGAAGTACCTGGGTTTAAATACCAGAGGGGTTGGGGGAAAAAAATCAGGTTCTAGTGGGATACTTACTCCTTAGTCTGGACATGAGATTATAAGAAAATAAAGATGACATTCAAAATACTCTTAAAAATAAGGCTGAAGTAAAACTGTCCAGATAATTTTAGATAGCAATGCAGACCTGGCCTTTACTGAGCTGAAGTAGAATATAGCCTAGCAAATTTTAGAGACTTGGGAGCAGTTTTCTACAGGGAAGAGAACAGTGGGAAAACCAAGACCTGACTTTCTGACTTTTTTTTTTTATGAGGAAACTTAGTCCTAGTATTTCTTGCTTACACAGCACAATACAAATGTACTTTATGTGGGGTGGTGGTGGCACACACATTTAATCCCAGCACTCGGGAGGCAGAAGCAGACAGATCTCTGTGAGTTCGAGGCCATCCTGATCTACAGAGCAAATTCCAGGACAGCCAGGGCTACACAGAGAAGCCCTGTATTGAAAAAACAAACAAGAATGCACTTTGTAAAATTACTGTGGGGAAGAGCTGAAAATCTGAGTAGAGATGCAACATCTAATATCCTAGGTGGCAAATGTCTCAGACCAAGTCTATTCTAATTGGTGTAAAAAAAAAAATCCATGTTGATTAAGTATAGTATGGCACCATGAAAACATCTTTGTGTAGCATGAAGTGGGGGCAGACAGCTTTTTTTATTTTTTTTTCAAGACAGGCTTTCTCTGTGTAGCTTTGTAGACCAGGCTGGCCTGAACTCAGAGATCCACCTGCCTCTGCCTCCTGGGTACTGGGATTAAAGGCGTGTGCCACTCCCACCTGTCACAAACAACATTCTTAACAGTTTCCCTTGTTTGGGTATGGATCTTTCCAAAGGAATTCATGTTATACTCAGTGTCTTAGTTGCTGTTCTATTGCTGTGAGGAGACACTATGACCAAGGCAACTCATTCTTTATTTGTTCTTTAGCATTTAAGGGATAGCTTGCTTACAGTTTTAGAGAACTAGTCCATTATGGTGGGGAGTGTGGCAGCATGCAGGCAGGTATGGTGCTGGTCAAGTAACAGAGCATTGCATCCTGATTGCAGACAGCAGGCAGACAGACACTGGGCCTGGAATGGGCTTTTGAAGCCTCAAAGTCCATCCCCAGCGACACGTTTCCTATATATAATAAGGGCATATCTAATCCTCAAACAGCTCATCAACTATGGACTAAGCATGCACATGTATGAGCCTATGGGGCCCATTTTCATTCAAATCAGGATTCCCAGTGTTAAGAAATTGTGTGGCATGTGTTGTTGGTAGCCTGTTTAAATGGAGTAGAGAGCCCTTGGGATAAGATGCCATACTGGAGAAAGACAGCCTGGTGCTGCAGTCGGGACACCAGCAGAATACATCAGTCATTGTGGAGTGGAGTGGAGCAGGTTTGTGAGTGTACATGTGACCCCTGCCTGGAGTGGGGAGAGGGGTGCACCAAATACTATTGTGAAGAGTTCTGGAGACTCCACGACTGTCACGTGGATTTCTGTTCTGCCAGCACTGGAGAAACCCAGGAATCCTGGGAAATGTCCATCATGCCTTACTGGACTGGCTTCCTATTCTGTGTGGAAGAATGGTCCTCTGCAGTTCTGAGAAGACACAGGGGATGTGCTGTAGGTATAAGTCCCCCTCTGCCTCAATCCGGAGCCACCAAGGGCAGTGGTATCCCTCCTTCGCTTCCTCTGCCCCAAGTAAGTTACCTGGCCTGCTCATCTGAAAGGGAGAGTTCTGATAGTAGGGAAGCTAGAACATAAACAACCTCTGGAGGAAGCTTCCAGCACATTCAAATGCATACAGGGCAGGGCTTCTTGGATCTTGCAGAAGGATCACATTTGAACATGCCTTGGGTAGGTCTGTGGACAAGATACACATGACTAACAGGGTGGATATGTCCCTGTACTTGTTCTGTCCCATCTATAGTCACTTATCTGCACAGCACCCAGTCTGTTCTCACATACCTGCACAGCCATGATACTTAACCCTCACAGACGCCCAGCCAGGTGGACTACCTGCCCAGTACAGGCTTGCATACATGCCCACAGGTGTGGGGACAGAGGGGACACTTCCAATAGAGGCAGCCTCCCTCTCTTCCTCCAGAGATCTCTTCTCAGTAGCCTTCTGCCTAATAATTTTTCTTTCATCTCTTCCTTACACTCAAGATGTGTGGGTGAACATGGAGTGGAGTTCTGGCTTGTATAAGTGATGACCCCCCATAGAAACACAAAATTGTAGCTATGAGGGCAGATCTAAGGAAAGACCCCACTCCTTCCACATCCAGTCCCGCCCAGGCTCTCCTAGATAGCCCAAATTCAGCTCTACAGGGATATCCCCGTGGCCTATCACCTCACACCTAGGAAAGTTTAGATCACGTGCTGTAGGCTATGTACCTGCCCAATAGAGCAGAGAGCTCAGATATGAGCTGCCAAGGTCACACAGAGAGTAAATATGGTGTCCAGGGGACATTCCATGAGCAAATGGGATCCTTGCAGAGGTAGTGATGCAGTGCTACCATCTAGAGAGGATACCCAATCTGGTCCTTAGCTAGCTTGTTTTCAGACAGAAATAAAGCTGTGTATGTGCCCCCTCCACAGTCTATAGGTCGCACCCAGTAATATCTCATACCCAGCAATAAGCCTTGCCCACGGTGCCTGGTCAAGATTCTCTCCTGCTCCCGCCCTGGTTGATCAGCTACCACTAATCTTGACTCCAGGCTCAAGCCAGGTGGGATCCGCCTATCCTCAGAGGCACAGCCATTGGCTAACCCACTTCAAGATAGTTATTTGCTTTTGTTGATAGAGCACCCAAAGAATGTCCCCTTTGAAGGAGCCACAGTTCATCATTGTTGCACTGTCTTCAACTGAGTGTCCTTTGGGAGACTACAAATAGTTCATGACTGTCCTCTGATAGAATTGTGGGATGGATGGGTAGGGGTTGCGGGAGGATGTGAGTCTAACTGGACCATCTGTCCTCAGCACTAAGGGCCTTCCCTGGATTCCTGGTACCCTGACCTGCCTATAGCTGCTGCTCTTGCTCACTTGCTTCCTGGGTCCTCTTCTGCAGCATGCCCATGTAAGTGAGAGCAGGAAGGCATGGTCTGAAGGGGACACCAGGCACTGGGGGCCCAGGACAACTCAGGTAATTCACTAGTCTCTATCTGTCCCCACTAAGGATTTTATGGGCTGTCACAAAAAGATTGTAAAGGAGTCAACCCAAGGAAAAGTAATAATGACACCTCACAACACACAGGAAGCAATACTTTTCTACATACCATACTGTGATTTGAGCCCTGCCTGATGGTAGCAAAGATCGGGCTGCATCTGGTCTCACATCTGTAAGAAAATTTCTCAGAACCACCGTTAGCATCTATTTTATTCTTGAGTAGGTAGACAGACAGACGTCCAGACAGAAATGTAGGTGTGTGTGGCGGGGGAGGGGGCGCCAAGCCAGCAGAAAGACGTGTTTCTGAGAGCATAAACACCAATAGATAGCCATACCTACTTGTAAGAAGGAGGCCAAAGGCAGATGGCTGTTCTAGAAAGCAGGTTGGTGGTTTCCAGGAACTGCCATCATGTAGGCATTGCCTCAACCAGGCAGACTATGTTTGTAGGGCTGTGAAAAGACTGAGCCTCAGCTGTTTCTAGACAGTCAAATTAAATTTATCCCCCAGGAGAGTCAGAGAACAGTTGGGGGAAATATTTTAAAACCCACAAAAGCATTATTTTGCCTATATCCTACTTTCTGGATATCTTATTTCTTTGTACACAGCTGAGGTTGGAGAAGTGTCTCCATATCTGCAGGTCCCATTTTATCATGTCCAAAATGGGGTGGTAGTAGGATCTACTACCCAAGTATGATATTGAAAACTGATAATTCTCTGCACAGTTGTGTATCACAGATGTGTACACACATGTGCGCTCATGCAAAGTCAAGCCTCCAAGTCTCTCTCCCATTGACACAAAGGTGTGCACAAAGATCTGCCACTGACAGTGCCCTCCACAGATCTCCACATACACAGACTCCAAGAAACACACATAACACATACCACAACCCCAAAGCATGCCTTCTCTTTTCTTACAACTTCAGCCACCAATATTGGCCAGGAGTGCTGCCTTGAGTACTTCAAACAAGCCATCCCTGTCAACTGGTGACATGGTATAAGACCTTAGTGGAGTGTCTCAGGACGTTGTGTCATTTGACTCTTTCCTGGGAGCTGGCCATGGATAGAGGCAAGCCTCTACCCCTCCATCATACCTTGGAGAAAGGAGCTGGACCTTTCCTTCCCTTGGCCACTTGTGCTGGACTGAGTAGTTTCAAACACTATGAGACTCAGAGGGGCCACAAGCCATGGGTCCAAGTCCTTACTTTACTTATGGAGAAACTGAGACTCAGGGATGAATGGGACACCCTCTTGTTACACAGCAAATCAATGGCTCATGTGTCTCTAATCCCGGGCAGGGGAGAGGTCAGATGAAACATTCCATCCTGCAGGAAGCTCCTTAAGCAGGAAGATCAACAACTCAAATGATCTTCAGGAAGTCCCTAAAACTGACCAGATTCACTAGGCCCTTCCCTACCAGACTAAGCAATAAAAGTTGAAAGTCCCCTCCAGACAGCAAGAAGCTGAACTACAAAGACAACTCTGAGACCAGACCAGCTGCCTGGAGGAAGCAGAAACCAGCCAAGCTGTCTGGAAGAGGTATAGGCCAACTGAGGTACCTGAAAGGGCATTCTCTAACCTGTTGAGCTGCCTGGAGGTTATGCAGTGTGCTCCAGGTTTCCAGTTTTGTGAGCTGGAGTGGGCTTTGTTGATAAAGCTGTCTTTAGAGTCATTTCTGCTCTTGTAAGTAACTATGATAAAACTCATTGATTCATCAAATTGGACTTTAGAGGTAACCATACTTTGGTCTGCCATGGGCTCCCCACCTGGGGGTGACTAGATGCCTGTGTTGCGTTTCCCCAGGAAAAGTTCTGTCTCAGGGCTTGTCCCACCTTTACTAGCTAGGTCATGCTCATCTGCTGCTGGTATCTGGAATAATGTCAAAGAGGGAACAGGTGTCCCCCAGCCCTGCTTCCTGCCTCCTTAACACAGATGTGCTGTTGAGGCACAAATTCAAGAGCACTGAAATCAGAAGGTCTCATATCCCAGATCTGCCACCAATGGAAACGTGTAAGTTTGGGGCTCAGAGTCTTGGCCAAGATGAGGAAGTGGCTGCTGATCCAGGGGCTCTGGAAGGGTATGCTTTGACGGTCAGTGATATTTTTCCCTCTCTGTAGGTTTGTCATTGTCCAGGACAGGTCTATCTGCTCAGACTCTGAAGACTGGCAGGTGGAGAACCCTATTTGTCACCTGCAAAACCTCGGGTTATCAAGCCTCATCACCAGGAAGGTACCTCAGCCACGGCTGCCCAAGTCTAATAGATGCCTTACAATGACAACAGGAGCCTCAGCCCCAAAGACTCTTGTTTCTACACTGTAACATTTCTCACCTGGAGCTCTAGGCCTAGATGGGCATCTGTTACAATCTTTTTCCTTCAGTCTGGATCAGTACATCTGTCTCAGGGGTACAGGGTGCCTTCCCGCCCAAACCTGTCACCCACAGAAAACACCTGGGCATACCCGAGTCTGAAGGGGAAGACGCCGAATTCTCCCCACCTTCCAGACCATTTCCGCCACGCTTGTCTGTTGTCTGGCCTGACCAGGAACTGAGGAGCACTCCGTTCTATTCCAGAATGCCTGCCAACCTCCTCCACTTAGTCAAGAATCGGACAACAGGAGATGAGCTGATCTTGGTCTTTTCAGAGATAAGCACGCAACCACAGGACCGGGCAAGTTCCCCGCTTCCTTTAGTCCCACACACTACAGATCAGGAGGCTCCCTGCTAGTAAAGCACCTTCCAGGCCTCCTGGGGTCTCCCTGCTAAGGCCTGAACCAGAAGGGTAGGTGGACGTCATCGGCCTACTCTTTGGTTTGTGGGATCAGAGCCTGCTTCCTGCTGTAGCTTCATTTACCACAGCAGGGCGGGTCTTCAAATGGCTGCCATGTTCCTGAGGTGTGGCTCCCACCCCCTATCGGCCGCGGAAATCCCACCCACCCTCGGACCAAGCCCAGCCTCCAGGAAGCCTTCCTCAGCTGCAAGTGTCTCCTGTGGCGGCGCGACCCCCTCGTATCCTCTAGTCTCTGCTTCCCCACCCCACCCCCCGGCTGCGGCCACCCATTTGTCACCAGGGAGTGGGCCTCCGAGGGCTCCTCCCAGGCGGGCCCGAGCTTCTTGCACCCAGCTGCACAGATCCCGCCATTCCTGGAGGGCCTCGCGCAGGGCTGTCTGGGCCTGTGGCTGGTGTCATGGTGCAAGGGGACAGGGACGCGAGCCCTATGTGGGAGTCTGGGGGTACCCTGCACGGGGAGGAGGGCGGGCACAGCCATTGAGAGAGTTGTCTTCCACTTCTGCTGCCTCCTTGTGGCGCAACTCGCCTGGGCGCTTGCTTTCAGCATGGCGGGAAGCAAGTGGCCAAATCACCGGCGTGTGGCTACCAGGTCTCCTCAGCCACACGAAGGCTCTTTCTCTGCTCTGAACCTGAGGTGAAGCCCTTCAGCAGCTGCCTCAGATCCAGGGCCGCGAGTAGCTGGGACTGAGACGGTGGTGGGAAAATGTCCCCGGGGTCTCCTAGGGGAGAGTGAAAAGATGGCAGAGACCAGAGGGCTGCAGGGGCGGCAGAGGGGAGCGCACCTGTTGGCCCACCGCATCCTCTTTAAACGAGGCTCGCACTCCAGTAATGAAACAGCTAGCTCTCAGTCGGAGGAGTGTTGCTTCAGGGCTCAGCTCAAAGGTTTCTAGGAAGAAGGAGGAGGATTCTGGACAGAAACCGGACAGTAGGATTTGGAACGCAAGAGTTCAGTCTAAGGGTATGGATAAGGACAGCACCTTGCGTGAGAAGCGACTGCCATCATCGTGTGCTTGTCTGAAAGGAGACTCGATACGGATCGGAGAGTTGGAGGTTTCCCGTGGCATCAAAGGGCCGGATGAATAGTGAGGAAGTGGCCTGACCCAATGCACCCCTTCCTTCTGGAAGGGCCCTCCTCTACACTGCTCAGAGCAGAAGTAACCTCTCCTTGGCGTCTCCCCCACCCCCAATTCTGTGACCTCAGCTTACTCGATACTGCCCTCTGGACTCGGAACTGCAGGTGTTCACGCTATCAGGAAGAGAGAAGGTGTTTGGTACCTGTGGATATTATCATTTATACATTTTCATTAACAAGTGTCTGACTCTCACAGGGGCACTGTGTTGAAAGAGAAGCTCCCGGAGTCAGGGACAGAAGGGGGGACAGACGATTGTCAATGCTCTGAGCAGAGCCATCTAGTGAGCTGCATAGGAACTGCAAGGGGCCATATAGATGGAAATTAGATTTGAGCTGCTCTACACGTGTCCGCCAGAGGGCGCAGCCTCAAATAAAGGCCTGCAGACCAATGCTCTTCATTCTGGTATCACATAGGTAGTTGACCCACCAGCTGGGGTACACCTTCACCACCTCGTACTTCATTGCCTATATTCCTTGGGCAGGGGGCATCTACAGCTGACTGGCGCTCCTAGGGTCACAAAGGTAAGAAACCACAGACCAGACTACCTGTTGTTCACTGAATGAGAGGAAGAAGACTCACGATATTGGAACTTAAAGGCCTTTAACTCCTTATTGCTTTTTTTTTTCTTGTAAAATACATATATAACAACCTGAAAGCCACCATTTTAACTCTATAAAATATACAATTCGGCACCATCACAGCATTGAGCAACAACCATCATTTTCCAGTTCTACAACTTTTCATCACCGCAGGTTATCAGCTTGAACCTCAGTTTCCCCATCTGAAAATGGAGCTAATAATAAACAGCTTTCCTAGGGCTGGAAGAGGTGCCATCTAACTTCTGTTTCTGGAGGAGGAGTTGGCTTGCTTCAGAGTGGATAGATGAGGAAAGAGGGCAAAGTCCCTAGATCAGTGAGAGCTTTAGCAATACAGATTCCAAGTAAATATTCGTTCATTTGGGGCTCAGAGAGACAGACGCTGGTGCTGGGGAGGCCCGCTATGATCAGGGAGTGAGCTGTGTGGCCAGGATTTCTAGGCAAGGCAGAGACTAGCCCATGCTGCTCTGTGAACTGTCCCAGCCCTCCTGCATGGCTACCCTGCGGGGAAGCTTGTGTCAGGAAACTGAGGCTTCCAAAGGAGCTGACCTTGATCGCAGTCACAAACCCAGAAGTGCTGGGTGTAGGCCTAGTCTTCACCCAGCTGTGGGAAGGTGGAGGAAGGTGGAGGGATGGGGACATTTGGCTCCAGTAACCTGGATAGGGTGGCTTCTGTGCATTTGAGCAGATGACAGATTGCTAAGAACTGAACTGGCAGTCACTGAGATAGTATAAAAATGGAGGGGAAGGTTAAAATACTGAACTGGAACTTTTGAACAGAGGGCAACAAGGGGGAGACACACACACACACACCTGCAGAATGTATAAGGAATTCTTATGGCTCAGTAAGGCTCTTCCACATATGGGGGAGGTGAAGAGATAGCTCAGTGGTTAAGAACACTGGCTGCTCTCTTCCAGGGAGGACTTTGACCTGATTCCCCTCACTCACATGGAGGCTCACAACCATCTATAACTCCAGTTCCAGAGGGTCTTCCAGCCTCTGCACACATGTGGCTCACAGACATACATGCAGGCAAAACACCCAGATATGTTGTTAGAAAAGAGCCCAGGGGGCAATAACTTTTGCCACTCTAGCAGAAAGACTTTACTCTTGATCAAGAGGGTGTGCTTGGAAGAGCAAGGACCCCAAGCTGGTAGTGCACTTGGTTTTTATTCTGATGCTGTGGTGACTGTCTGTGTCTTTCCCCCATTGCCTGGGGTCTGATCTCATGGTCTTCTGAGACTGGCTAGTTTCAAATAGTGCGAAGGAAATGAAGTGGGGAGGGAATCTGTCACTTTAATCTGAAACTGTAGCAGGGTCTTTGTATAAACAGAGGTTTTTACCTGGGGGCGGTATTAAAAACATTAGTATAAATATCTTAGAAGGTAGGAGAGATAAACCTTTAATCTCATCACTCAGTAGGCAGAGGTCAGCCAGGTCTACTTAGGGGGTTTTCGGGCTCAGAGGTCTGTCTGCTTCTGCTTCCCGAGTGATGGGATTAAAGGTGTGTGCCACCATGCCTGGCTATAGTTACCCTTCTTATTAAAGACATTTGAATGATTCTCAATTTGTTTGAGATAAGAATCTGTGGAATTCTAATCCCCCCCATTATTTCTTAGGGTTCCAAATTGGGGACAAACCCAGGCCCTGTTTGCCTCACTGTGTGTTTCCTGTGAGAATCAATAAAAAAATAATTCAGGACAGCCTGGTCTACAGAGCAAGTTCCAGGGCAGCCTGGCCTATATAGAGAGTTCCAGGAATGCCAGGGCAACACACAGAGAAACCCTGACTCAGGAAACCAAAATCAACCAAACAAAAAACCCAAACAAACAAAAAACAAAAGACATCAGGAAGTAGACCACTCAAAAGCTGCAGAAGCCCCCAAAACTGACCAGATTCACTAGGCTTCTCCCTCCCCGAGCATCTATATACAATACAGAAGCAGAGGCAAGCGGGTCTCTTGAGTTTAAGGCCAGCCATGTCAACCAGGGTTACACAGTAAGACCCTGTCTCAAAAAATGAAACAGAGAAAGTTTTGAAGTCCTTGTACTAAACACAAGCTTTACAGTATTTGATAGAAAAAGTGTCATATTTAATACTTCTTACAACATTAAAAATAGTTGCCAGGACTGGGATTTGTGTTCTGGTTAGGCAAGAATCTGTATCTGTGGGATTCTGACCTCCAACCCCATTAGTTCTTATGATTCCAAATTGGGGACAAACGCAGGCCCTGTTAGCTTTGCCTCACTGTGTGTTTCCTGTGAGAATCAATGCAACCATAATTCATCAAGAGATGGATTGTGCCAGGACAGGGATTTATGTAAAGTTCCCACCTGGGTAGCTACACAGTGGGCTGTGATAAACACGTACCATTTTATGGGAAACACAGTGGCCCTGTCTAGAAGTTCTTTCCTCCACGGGCTGCACTGACCCCAGACACTGTGTCCCCTTTTATGCAGGAGCTCCTCAAGGATGCAGGTTTGGCTTTGGCCTGGGCTCTGGTCACTGACACCAGCTTGGCTCAGAGTGCATGGGGACATCTATTTGATACACAAGTGATCAGGAAACATCATTCCTAGATCAGGGACAAGCATAAGCAAAGCCTTAGCGTGGCAACATGCTGCTCACAAGACTGTGGGTCAGGTATGGCAGACACAGGGAACAAATAGGAGGAGAGTAGGTGTGGATGCATCTTAAACGCCAGTCAGGCAAGGGGATCTGGGTAATCTGAAAGGTAGTAGATAGCTTCAGAAGTCTTGGGGACAAGAAGAAAGGGGACGAGAGGAAGAGACAGGATTTGAGGGCTTCTAAGCAGCAGCCTTTTCGGGATTTTTGCTTCAAAAGAAGAAGGCCAGAGGATGAAAAAGAAACCAGAGTGGAGTAGTTAGTGAGGAGAGAGGTCAGGTAGGCAGCAGATTACGAAACAAGAGTAGAAGTGTCCAGCCTCACCAGCGGCTGTGGGAAGGAACCAGCGGGCAGAAGAGTTGAGCAGAGCTTCTCAAACATGGTGCTCCAGCCAACAGTAGCAGCACCTAACACCTAACATTCTCACGACCATATCGCCACTCTTGTCTCCATCGCTACCACCACATTATCACTGTTGTTGCCAAAACTACCACAATAACATCAGCACTATCATTACTACCAGCTTTACGACCATTACTGCCATTGCCGCCACCATCACCACTACCGCTGTAACACTATAACCATCTACGATTATCACCACCAGCCACCACCTCGGTCATATCGCCATCCCATCCCATCCTCACCACCAATCCCATCCCTATCTCTGCTCCCATCCCGACCGCACCAGTCTTACCCATCATCCCCATCACCACAACCATTTCTTCTAACCATCATCCTCATCACCAAGCACCCGCTTAGAAGTGCAGATGCTCAGCTCCTGACCCCTGAATCAGCATTTCCGGGAAGTGGGGCTGGCACTCTCATCGAGGCCTCCAGAGGACTCTGTTGGATGCTCAATTTAAGAATCCCTAGACAAGACAGCCACAAGGCTTCTCTAGTGGTTAATTTCAGAAACGCTGGTAAAAGACAACGGGTCACAGAGCCAGAGCTGGGAGAAGGAGACAGAATGGCCCCTCCTTCCCCTGACTCCCTGTTTTTGGCTTACTGAAGATCTGCCCTTGGAGCAAAGGGAATTCACCTGGAAGTGGGAATTAAACAGTAAGTGCCTTTTGACCAAATACTGGCTCTTTTAGGTCAGCTGAAATTCCTTAAGTTTCTCACTCTATCTGCTGAACTTACATGGACAGAATCCTGCCTTGTTCTCCACCCAAAGACACGGGAGCTCAGCACGAGTGTGGCCACACCCTGATATTGACCAGCCATTCCGGATCCAAACACCTGACCCGGTGCTCACCCAGGGCTTCATTATTTGTTAGGCAGGTGTTTACCCCAGGCACTGGGTAGCCCCCTACTCCTCCTCTCCGCCTCCCCCCACCCCCGGGTGTGGAAGGGTGGATCCAGGCCTAACTGGGTCTTTACTCTCCCACTTTCAATCTCTTAGGCTTTGACCTGCCTTCTGAGGTGAGTTTCCTGCCCCAGATTATTTGTGAAATGTGGAATTTACCTCTTATCTTGGAGAGATAAGAGGGGAACCCATGACAGTGGCTCCTTCAAAAGCCTTGACTTGTCTTTATGGCGAAAATCTGGTTAACTTGAAGTCAGAAGCCCTGGTTATGTAGTCTCATTGTCTTTTAAGCTTTACATGACCTCTGCAAGACGTCTTTGCAGCAGGGTCCTCACTTAACTTACTCGGGATCCTGCTAGGTACAGAGACCCCATTGCTTATTCTCACCAGGGCTGAACTAGCCGGGGTATCTGTAGTTAAAGGAGGCCTGATACCTCTCAGAGAAAACGTGTTAAGTGAACAAACGACATAATTAATTAGAATCATGGGAGCAATGCTTTGGGGGAGATGAAAATTTGGCTCCTGGTTCAACAGTTTCTAATATGGGTTGAAATATCCCCAAAGAAGAAAAAGCAGTATCGGGTCTTGTGCGACTAACCATGCCCCCTCCCACCTTCCTCTTTCCTATTTTTCAATTTCTATATTGGAAACACAGCAATACTTCTAAATCTCTCGTACATATATGAAAATAAATTCCAATTCCCATCCTTACTTATACAAAGTTAATATATTTTGAACATTGTTGTGAGCTTTGTCACTCTCCTCTCTAGTATTATACCTTGAGATGTTCCATGTCAATGAATATGTCCTTTCTCTTTTAACTATTGCTTTGTGGGAATGTGATTATATATATATATATATATATATATATATATATATATATATATATAT